CACATAAATTTGAGCTTTGTCACAAGCTTAAGTCACAGCTCGGTCTCTAACAGGTCTCTCCGTTGAACTCCCAGCAGTTCCATGCTGCATTAGCCCAAGAAGGCATTTGACAGCAGCACCTGACAACATCACCCTAAACACCTGAGCTATGGAAGAGTTGCTTCAGTGTGCAAAACCAGATGGGATTTTGTCTTACACGCCCATTTTTAACTGTAATTTTTTCTGTATTTCTGAGCCAATACCTACCATAACACCCCATCTGCTGCAACTCTCCCTGATCATACCATTCAGTTTTCCACCTCCTTGCACAGCTTGAGCCTTTTTCCCTTTCAGCATGCACTCTTACCAAGCTATAATAACAACATAAAAGGGGCATTTAATTCTGTTCTCGTTAAGTAGAATCTCTGAACATTTCCCTGTAGTAACAGGCTGCAGATACACTTGTGCTCAGCAGCAGAAGATGGATTTACCCTTTACAGACTTCTGTGGGAAAGAATGGGGGAGCAGCTCACCCCGCAGATACCTATTTAACAGCTGTCAAGAGAGGAGAGCCCATCTCAGCTCCTGCACCAGCACTCACTCACTGCAACAAGCCAGAGCACAGAGGGAAGGAAAGTTATTCCTCCCCCATAAGGACAACTTGCTATTTTAGCTGCCTGCTGGTGAGTTAGATCAGTTTGGATGTGCTGCTCAACTGCTCTCACAGCACAGTCCAGGCAGCTACGCTGGGCCAGCTCACAAAGGACAACCGGGAAAACCTTCAAGATCCCGAGAGGAGCAAGAGCCAAGTGCTGTGGGAAATCTCTTGCGCTGCAGAGACGCGTTCTCACGCTCCCAGAACCTGTTTGGTCTGACGCCTTCATTTTCCAGTAAGTTCATTACAGGTAATTTTAGCTTCTACCAAATTCACGTTGAACTCAGCGTTTTCAGTAGCAGATCAAGAACTTTTCTCTGCACCCAGGCTCCTTTGCTCACCTCGCACTGGGACTGGTGAGCGTGCTCTGGCTAATCACAACAGCCAGGAAGGCGGTGAGAGATTCCATTCCAAGCTCAGAAGTGCCTGTAGTGTGTTTCTGCAGCACCACTCAGCCAGAGTCGTTTAAACAAGAAAAAACACGTCCAACAACCCTGTTTCAGACTTGCTCCATGCAGGTTTCCTGCTTTCCTTGCCTTCTGGCCCACTGCCCCACGAATCAGATCATTGTGGTCACTGGTCTTAAAAATAAACACTAATGCCTACCTTTATAAAGTACATCCCCTAAGTGCTTTATCAACTTTTAAAGACTTCTAACTTCTGTATCAAAGCAACTCCCCTAAAGAGAATTCAAAATGTTTGGCAAAATTTAAATCTTTGCACATGAAGGCTGAGACTAAGAAACTAAAATAACACCAAGATTAGTCATAAGATTTCTAGCAACTACTTAATCATAGCTCTGTCCACCCACTATTACATAAATGAAACCAGCAACATTTGACTGTCATTAAAAACATGGCCTAGAGAAATCCAGCTTCAAATGCTTAACAAAACTACCTTAACAAAGGACTGCACTGACTCCCTTTCTGGTTCTGGGCTGCAACCAGGAATCAATGCACTCATATAACCACATATGGAATAACTGCTGAAAACAAAACATTATCTTGTCATTCCTTGCCTTATACACACTAAAAAATTCTATGAAATTTCCCCACTGCGTTGGAGCTGCTTGGAGCCATGTTTTATCTGCAAACAGGTGGCAGCCTTCAAAAAAGGCTTTGATTGTGCCATTTCTTCCTTTCTCTGCCCCACATGAACTACGTGTCTGGCAGACAGGGTGCACAACTGCTCAGCTCTTCACTCCACCACCGAACAGCAGCTGAGATTTCTCCAGTACCACCCTCAGACCAAGAGTTCAGGGTTTGTGTGCTACAGTAGGTTTAGCTACACGCGGTTCTGCCAGATAAGCAGTGGGACACACCCTCTGTGACACACCGCTCACTCGGACACACCCTCTCCCAAATATGCTCTTCAGGACTTACAATGCTACTACTTTTTAAAAAAAATCTAAAAAGTTCAGTCACACAAGTCACTAAATTCCAAATTAAAGGCCAATTACTCTGCACCCCACTCCCCTTCTCACAAGCCATCAAATCAAATGCAGCACGGTTTTAGTACACAAGGCCTCAGATGAAGCAGAATTCCAAAGAGGGACTCCTAAATCACTGCTCTTGCAGTTATTTCTACAATTAAAAAATGCCTACAAAAGAGCATGAAGTGTGACCACTTCCATGGCATCCAGTAATTGGTGATTTCTCCAAAACACACAACTCTCCCAACATGACTGGAGATTTCATACCACTCAACAGCTGCCTTTTTAGAGGGAAAACAAAGGCTGCTAAAAATAACTTCGGCAAATGCTTTTTCTCAAGTGTCAATCACCAGCAATTCCTGCAGTTCCTCGAGCGGCTGCTCCTCATCTGTCCTGCACATTCCTGCTGCTCTCTATCACAGAGCTCAAAGCAACAGTTGCCCTTTCATTTTCCCCCAAACAATCCTCAGAGTGAGGAGGAAAAAAACCAAGGGGACAACAGGACAGCCCCAGCAGCACACATGGCACGCTCTCCTAGCCAAACACACACCAGCCAAAACTCTAAGAACAAGCGTGAGTTACAGATGAGAAACAGCCTACTCATTAACAAATGAAAAATTAATCACAGGTACTTCCAGAGCTCTGTTTAGTTTGTTCCCAGCAGATCGTTACGGAGGGGACACAAAACAATACCCAAGTTTTATATTACACAAGCAAATCTTTAACTTGCATTGTTTCACAGGAACACCAAAGCTTTGGCCTTATCTAAGCCAAACAGGACACATTTCCTAGAATACCTGTAATGCTGGAGCTCTTGAAGCAGAAACAGCACAAAGACACACAAATAGTTAAATATTTTTAAAAACATTGAACAGAGAATGATATAGAGCTGCCAAAAATGAGCAATACCTGAACGGAAACTTTAAAGAGAGATTTGTTGCGAACAAAGGAGGAAGGAAAACAAATTAAACTACTGTATTTTTTTCACAAATATGTACAGAACTCAGGTAGAATTACATCACTTTCATTTGCAAGACAAAAAATAGCAAACATGTTAGGAAGTGGGATGGTTTACAAACCAGATGACCAAAAGAACTGTTATGTTGAATGAATTATTGAACATCATACCGTTTTTTTGGTTTGAGTTCTCAAATCTAGTGGAGGAAGTAGATTGAACTTTTTTCCCCACCCAAACATGATGATCACATTTCTTTATGGCATTGTAAATACAGAGTTCAGTTGAACTAAAAAAAATTATACATCAGAAAAGCAAATTTGTTTGGTTTAAAATCAATACAACCAAAAGAGCAATCCATAGTTATCCAATCTGTCATTGAGAATTACATTACCGTGAAAATCCTTCATTTATCAAGGTACCACTTTTTTGTTCATATTGCTCAAAAATCTTACCTAGCAAGTCAAAACGAGTTTGTCACGCAGTAAATTTATCTTTCAACCATACTTTGCTACATAATTAAACACAAATCAACAAAACCCCTCCACACAAATAACCTGAAGATTAAACCACCATGTGAAATTACAGACCACAGTATCAAGTCCATTTAGTTACACTTCACTCCTCTGTCATCTACAGAAGTTTGCTGTGATACCAATTATGCTCAGCCTACACTGGGATTTTTGTTTCTCCTAAGGGAAAAAACGCCTCTCAAACTGCATAAGACAAGTCTTGTTTTCCAACTGGCCTGTGATGTTCCCCTGAGCTCTGACATCCAGTAAGAGAAAGAATCCCTCTGAGTTTCTGGGAACAGCATCATGGAGAATATTCAGAAATAGCAAACACACAAACTCTCTCCTCACCTCAATTCCAGCACTCCCCACACTGAAATCCAACTGCGAAACTTAGGAGCTAACTCGATGCTAAAAAGCACCCCCAACTTGTTTCACTTACAAGTAGCACCATATTAGATGCTGTAGGTGTAAGAGCTCTTTACAGACAAGTATATCATTAACTATTTGTATTTCAGGTGCCTTATCAGCCTCCTTGAGACAGGAGCCTTACAAGACCAGATGTTTGCAGCCACGAAAGCAGCCTCTGCCCACAAGCATTTACGATCTGCTCTGAGCTCAGCCCATTTCATCCAGTTTTACTGCGAGAGTCAGATCTAAAAAAACCGAGCTCTAAAGCCTAGTAAGTTTGTTACTTTCACAAAAGCCATTTCAAACCAGTACTGGATTTCTCATGTCATTAAAAACATAGTTTGTTTGGGTTTTTTATACATTTGGATTACTTCGGTGATTAAAGGCAGGGCAGAAGCAGCAGCAGCTCCGGGGAAGGGTCCGGTCACGGCTGGGCCAGCGCGGGGACAGCCGCGGGTGCCGCTCCCGCCGGGCCCCGCCGCGCCCGCTTCCCTTCCCTTCCCTTCCCTCCCCTCCCCGCCCCCGGCACGGCGGGAAGCGCGGCCGACACCCACCCACCCACCCGGGCCGCACACACCGCCCCGGCCCCCAGCCCGGCCCTGGCCCCCAGCCCGGCCCCGGCCAGCCCCGCTCCCCCCGGGCCGCGCCTCGGCCCCGCGCCGGGCTCGCCCGCACCCCGCGCCGGGGCCCGGGGGCCGCTCCCGCCCCGCCGCCCGACACCGCCCCGGCCCGGCCCGGCCCAGGCCCCTCGCACTCACCCGTCGCCCACCACCACACACTTGATGGCCTGCATGGCGGCTGCTGCGGGAGCGCCGGCCGCCTCCGCCCTGAGCCTGCGAGCGGGGACGAGGCAGCGGCACCACCCAGGGCGGGGAGCAGAGGGCGGGCCGCGGGCGCAGGAAGCGGCGGCCGCGCTCACATCCGGCCCCGCCTGGCCGGGCTGCGGGAGAGGGCGCGGGCGGAGCGGGTTGTGCTGCCGGCCCAGCCCCGGGCGGGCCTCGCTGGTCCCTGCCGTGTGCTCGGCCTGCGTCCGGCCCTGCCGAACGGGGTGTCCAGCCCGGCCCAGCGGCGAGGCCCGGGCCCCGGGAGCGCTGCTGGCCCCGGCCGGGCTCTGCTCAGGGCCACGGGGTTGGCCTTCTCCCACATCAGCCCTGTCTTGTCTGACAAACCTCTCTCAAACACAAAATTGCCTTTGACACCACTATGTGTCCCATCTTCCACTCCTGGCCACCCCCCCCCCATGCCCCAGTCTCATCCTTGGCATCTCTCGAAGCGTGTTGATGTGCAGTTGTGTTTACCCCACAGATGTGGCGAGCACGTGTAACTCCAGTGACCACCCTGTTCCTACATGCTGCCCGTTTTCCCCAGCCAGGCACCTGCCATGGGACCATCGCTCTCAGTGGAACACGAAAGTGCAGAGCCAGAACATTTCCCTTCATCACAGGATCTTCTCCTCACGATGTGCTGTGACAATTCTTAACACTGCTGGCAAGTTTTAGGTTAGATCAGTCTTTACAAGATGGGACAGATAAATAACTGTCAGGCCTCACAGAGCCTTGGGTTTCATTTTTTCCCCAGGCAAACTAGTTATTTTCAGGAAATACTGAAGTAAAAGTCGAGCAGAGCAGGTCCAATGATCCCAAGAGTTTTAATTTCTGCAGTTAGTTCCTGCCATAGTTCTGCTTGGTGGAGAAGCTCCTGGTTGGACTGATGCACGTGAGCACTGTTCCCTTTGTTTGCATTGCCATCTGTTCCCCGAAGGAAGTGTGGGGAAAGGGCCCATGGACACACAAAGTAACGATGAATTCACTGAATCAATAGAGTGTACCATCGGGAGTGGTTTTCCAGGGACTGGATCCCCTATTAATTTCAGAACATTTCTAAATTATTTTGATACCACACAGTGCAACCTCATCAGTGGACAGAACATTCCACGATATATACTGTCTTCCATTCTTCTTTCATTGAGCAGAGATAATTCTCAGGTATTTCCCACCAGTGAGGAAATCATCATGACTGTCACTGTGCGCCCAAGGCTATTTTTGCAACATTTGTATTTCCATGTTCCCTCACCCAGATGGAAGCTGCAGTGACTTGCCATTTAAGCTGAATGTCCTCAAAGCCGAGACTCTGCCGCTGCCAATGACCTGGCAACTGTTCTCAGGCGGGAGCTGCGGAGGAGAGGTGTGGGCAGCACCACAGTGCTCCTGCTGCTCTTGGCAGCTGAAACAGCTCTTGGGGCCTCTGAGACACTGCACAGGAACAGAGCAGCACAAGGAGTGTCTGACTGATGGATGGTCCTGGGGAGACACAACATGGGAAGATTTGAGGGACATGTAAAACTGCGGCGGATTTTTCCACCACCTACCTCTTCCTCCACTGGTTCTTTCTGATCCAGCATATAACAGATGGATGATTAGAGCTTTTTCTATGAGAAAGAAGTACAGCAGCATTCACAATGTGATTACAAAATAACCATACAAAACCAAGGATGAAGGCTATAGTTGACAAAACACAGTAGCACAAATTGCTTTTATGATCCTGTCGTGAGAGAAGCATTATATTTTTATGTATGTTCTTTTCAGTGCTCCTCTATCCTATTGTTTTGGGATCAGTTGTTTTGCATTGTCAAAAAATTAAAGTTAAAACACAGGGCACGCTTTAATATTTTTTAAATTGACAATTTTGTACTGCTTTTGGTATATAATATGGAAATACCTAGATAAATATTTTCTGTCAGTAATTTAAAAAATATTACAATTTAGATAGATGATGATCTAGTAACAGATTTAGACAATTTTCCCCCACGTGTTTGTAAATCTTTATTTCCTCAAATATGATAAAAAGGGCCTTTTGGAATGGTTCAAACTTTTGCATTTGAAGTCCTAGTTGATATCTCTCTTACAGTAACTTTCCTTATTTACGCAGGCAGATTTTCCTTAAAATACACGCTGTGTTAATTATTCTATTGTTAAACATTACTATATTTCAGTTACATTTTATTCTTGCCTTTATTTTTGTTCACCTATTATGTAGTGTGTTTGTTTTTAAAGAGAAACAAATAACTTACACGGTGAGCTACAAATGCTCAGCTCTTTGCAGGTATGTTTTTTTCCCTGAGAATGAGGAGAGAGCAACACAGTGAACATTTTAAAACATTAGTTTCAAAAAGAAAAGGAACTTAGAGAACAGGATGAAACAAGAGGGCAAAGGAGGGAGAAGTCAGTAACAGGCAACTTGATAGGAAAATGATCAGTTTGATAGGTACGACTGCAGTGCTGAGTTGTACATGGAATAGTTACAAATGCACCACACAGAGGTGTAGGACAAAAGAACATAATGAATGGCAGGAGCAATAACCAAATAAAATTCTTTCCATAATTATGATAAAATCATGAATCATAAAGTTCAGGCTTAGATCAGCCCTAATATTGCTCCACACTCTACCACCTTGTCTTCCCTCACCAGTACAGTTGTTGCTGAGAGCCTTTTTCTTAGACATCGAGAAGGAATCATTATTGAAGATTGTTTTGGATACTGTCTGTGTGTATTGTGAGTGCTGGCTCTGCTGGAGGATTATTCTCCTTTGTGGCTGGGGAGTGGCAGGGTAATCATGCTGATGCAATACTGGAAAGTTCTGCTCACCATGACACAAACTATCAGCACTACAGAGACAGTAATTATTTGCACTTTTATAGTATCTTTCATCCCAAACTATTACTGTGTTCTCTAGCATGCCAGCTCATTAATGAAGCCACAGAGAAGTAGAGAAGGACCAGTACAGACACATTGTCCTGGGGAACAAACAGAGCACCTGACAGCAATTCCTGGGTGTGTTCCCTTGCTCCTGGATGACACTTCCTGCTGACACTGGTTCTGCTAAGCTACCTCCAGGACACAGTGTGTGCAATATCAGGGGCAAAAGTAACTGTCTGTCCCTAACAGGAACAGAAAGCTGTTTCGGGGGAAAAGCTGTAATTGGAGTTCGGTCCCTGGAAACCAGGGCTCAGACTGAAGTCAATTTTACATGAAGCAAAGGTGTGTCACAAAGTGCAGAGAGCCAAGTCAGGTTTTCACCATATTGCACTCTTCTAACTGCTAGTAAAATCATCAGCAAAAAAATCCACAAACCTCACCCAAGGAGAGACTTATCTTACTGGAGAAAAACTTTCCCCAGATGTTTTTTTCATCTCTAAAATGTCTGACATAACTTTATTTAAAAATGGTCCTTAAATCTTGATCCTAGTTTGAGTTGGTGGCAAAAGCTGGGTGTTCAATGGTGCAGTATTAGGGACACAGTAGTTGGTAGAAAGGAATCTTAATTCTAGACAGCACTAGGCATCCAAAATTCCTCACTGGACTCTCTTTCCACCTGTGGTGTTATCTGCCTTTGTGGCCTGTCACTCACTGAGCCCCTCTGCCCTCCCACTTTTAAACCAGGACAGAGTACATTTCCAAGCTGTTTGGGCAGTAGCTACCAACGGTTGCCTGAGATTCCAAGTTTTTTCTTAACAATCTTTGAATTCTTTGGTTGACGTCTCTTTGCCAAGCTAATAGAGCACAGATTTTTAATTAGGAAAGAGACGCTGTTGCTGTGGAGGAAATTTGGAGTATCTTCACTGAAGCTGGGGGGTATTGTGACACACATTGTGACACAAAATTAATGTTAGAGAATACTCTAATCCACGAGTAATAGCCTGTAATTTCTAGATATTCCAGGCAGACATTTTTTGGCATGATTGGTTTCCTGAGTGTTGAAAAAAAGCCTGTACTCGCATGTGATATGTACACTGTTCAAATATAGCAGTCAGTCTGCTCTAGAGGAACCAAAGCCAGCAATAAAAAAGGAACCACAACTTTTAAATGTCAGCATTTGCTGCATCAGAGAGTTCAGATGAAAAGAGCATGAAAATAAAATCCTAGTATGTAAATCTGTACATTAATAATACAGCAGCGTAAAACCAATGCACCCCATTCATGTGATACTCACCCAGATGACTTGGCTGGTGTGAGTATTCAACAGAAACAAGTGCTGTATTTTCTTTAGGTAGCTTCTGATAAATATCTCTTCTGTCAAGACTTTCAGTTATAAAACCCACATAAGGCTTTGCATTCACTGATGTCTGCCCTCAGGTTTAGCAAGCAGGAACAGACAGTGCTTAATACAGTGAGATCTGTTGTTGCAGGCAGTGGGAGTACATACAGTAATCCCTGTATATGGCTGGGAGCTTTCTGGAATAGAGACATCATTATATGTTTATAAACAAGGACCTGAGACTTCTCTGTGTCGCTTCAATTTTTTTATCACTGTAACTCCCTCAGCAGAAATATGGGAACAAGCCTTTTATAACTGTAGGCAGCACATCATGCCCGGAGGTGAGGCAGTGCTGAAGTACACAGATGTGTAAGCTGCAAGTTCCCCCCAACTTCTACCTATCTTGATATCAAACATTTCACAGAAATGAGCCTTAAAATATCAAGAAAAATGATAAAGGTTCAGCTATTACATAAGCCCATTTGGTATTTCTTGTTTTACTGCCTTCAACTGTCCAGCCCTTTGACTCACAACATTTTTTATTTTGAATAGAGGAATGAATATTTGAATACCTGAGAAGAAATTTTAGGTAAAATGAAATAAGACATGAACAGACTAGAAAAGATAAGGATGTTCTGTGATGCAACAGAGAAAGACAAGTCAGGCTTAGGAAGCAAAAAGGGGATGATGGCATTAAAGTGCTGGAAAAGATCTCTGCAGCCATCAGCCGCAAACTGCATGTCAACAGTTTTGAACTTCTGCATATTAAAGTAATCAGTGTTCTAGCTGAACTGAAAATGATTTTACCACCATGACAGAGCTGAAATCAAACGAGGAAGTGTGGGATGCCTTTGAGGTTTAGTTTCACTGTCAGAATAATTAGCTAATTTCCAAATCTTGGTGTGACAAAATCTGGCGAATCTCTTCAACTGGTGTTCAATTGCGTTATCTGTCACTTTCTTTGTTGGAAAAGCTAAAGAGTGTTTTACCAATTTCACTATTTAATTAAATAATTAGATTAAAATAAATAGCGATGCTAAATTGTTATTATAACCTAATTTAGTAATTATATTGCCTATTTTAGTGTGGAAACTAATTTACTTTTAATCAAGATTTGAAAATTGATACTGTGTCACATCTGTTTCAATGTGCAACAAGACCCAGAACTAATGAGATTCTGGCAGATATCTACTGATACATGTAAATGTTAATCAGCTTCCTGATTTAACCTTTGTGTATCACATTGCATTCCAATTTAATCATGGAGAGCTGTTAAATGTCCCATTCTGGAATTATTCTTTCTCTGTGCACCAGCTTGATTCTGTGGTAATACAATAATATTTTATAAGGAGTTTAAAGCAATGTATTGATTTTTATGTTTCATTTTAGTTATTGAAAGTTGATTGAATGAAAAATGTAAAAAGCAGTTCTAGGGAGAAAAAAGGGCTACGTTAATAAATGGTATTGGCCATCTGTTCATCTTTTAGGGCATTTTCGCTGAATTGCAAAGTGTCGTGATGTTAATTTATCTCAAAGATAAACCCACCTTCCTGGGAAACATTTGCAAAATATTTTGGAAATCTTATGTGGAACCTGGACTTGAACAGTGTATTCTAAATTAATTAAGTAACCCAAGTATTGGCTTGAAAAGCATAGGAAGTATTTCCTCGTGACAGTGGATAGCCCATAGAATTGATCACCTAAAATTATAAAAAAATTATTAAAAAACCCAGACTGAAACCCAGAAACCATTGTCATCATTTCACACTGAAAAAGGTCAAGTTTAGATTAGATATTAAGAAAAAATTCTTCCCTGTGTGGGTGAGGAGGCCCTTGGTACAGGTTGCCCAGAGAAGCTGTGGCTGCCCCATCCCTGCAAGTGTCCAAGGCCAGGTTGGCTGGGGCTTGGAGCAACCTGGGATAGTGGAAGCTGTCCCTGCCCACGGAAGGAGTTTGGAACAGGATGATTTTTAAGGTCCCTTCCAACCCAAACCAGTCCATGACATCGATAGCCCGTGCAGGTGTCACTGAGCAGGCTGGAGCACACACCTGGATGGACCATGCCCTCAGGGAATGGCTCAACGGGAATGGTTTGAATAAAGGGAACTCAGGGGAAGGATATTAGGCTGGATATCAGGAAAAGGTTCTTCCCCTAGAGGGTGGCTGGGCCCTGGAACAGCCTCCCCGGGGCAGCGGGCACAGCACCAAACCTGACACAGCTCAAGGAGCGTGTGGGCAACGCTCTCAGGCACGCGGTGGAATTCTTGGGGCGTCCCGTTGGAATCGATGATCCTTGCGGTATCATCGTTGATCCTTTACGTTGGGGAACGTGAGGGCGGGGGAACATACGGGCGGCAGGATGTGGAGGCGGGCGGTAGAACAGGAGGGCGGTTTAACAGGAGGATGGGCAGTAGAACGTGAGGGCGGTTTAACAGAGGGCAGGCAGCAGAACGCGAGCGCCGCCGCCCCCGCCCCGCCCCGCCCCGCCCCGCTCCAACGGCTCCCGTGCCCGCCCTCAGCGCGGCCCCTCCCTCAGCGCGGCCCCGCCCCGCGCACGCGCGGCGGGCGGTGCCGGGCGCCGCCTCAGCCCCTGTCCGGCCGGCCGTGCGCACGCGCGGCGGAGGCGGCGGCGGGGCCGGGCGCGGGCCCGGCGGGCGGGGCGGGTGTATGGCGGCGGCGCTGTCCGCCCTCGCCGCCAGGCTCTCCCAGTCGGCCGCCGCCCGCTCCTACGGCGTCTTCTGCAAGGGGCTCACCAGGACCCTCCTCATCTTCTTCGACCTGGCCTGGAAGCTCCGCATCAACTTCCCCTACCTCTACATCGTCGCCTCCATGATGCTCAACGTGCGGCTGCAGGTGGGCGGCGGGGCCGGCCCGGCCCGGCCCGGGGGGCGTCCGGGGGTCACGGCGGGGCCCGCGGCCGCTGCGGCTCTCCCGGTGAGGGCGGGGCGCGGCCGGGCGGGTCCCGTTGTGCCCGCCCTGGGGCTGTTGCCCTACCCGGTGTCCCCCGGGGATGTCGCTTGGATGCAGCCCTGGGGGAGATTCGCCCTTGCCCGTGCCCAGGTGCGAGTGGCCCCGCTGTGCTGCTCGCTCTCTGCTTTCTCAGGTTTATTCGTGTTCCTGAGCCGAGTTAACTCAAAGACAGGCAATAAATTGTGGATATGTGCACATTTTAAGGAGCAAAGGAAACAATTTCCTTCATCAGTTTGTTGGGTTGTTGTTTGGTTTGGTGGGGTTTTTTGTGTTTTTTTTTTTTTTTTTTTTTTGTTAATCAAGGCAGTTGCAGCAGAGAAAATCAGAAGGAGTTTTAATACCAGTGTCATTACATAGAAAAAACAGTTAATATTTAATTTGCATCTCTGCTGCTTCTGCAAAACGTTGAACTCCCTAAACCAGCTTTGACCTGTTGTAGGGTTTAAGTTTCGTTGTTTTTATGATAAAATGAAAGCTTTACTTTTGACTTAGCTGGCAACAGTAGCAAGCTGTGGACTGTCACAACAAACATCTGTTCTAGCCAAGGCTTGGGCATTTTCTCCTGGTAAACAGCTGTAATGAAAGTTTTGACATCTGGCCAGTGGCCGAGTGCTCAGAGACAAGTCTGGTTGCAGTTTGTGACTTGTAAAAGTTGAGCTAAAATGGGAGGAGGTCAAAATGTGACATCTCTTGTTTTTGGGATTCGTTCTACAGTTCTGAACCTTGAAAATGAGCCACGTGGCCAGGAGTTGTACCTGCAGCTTAGTAACCCTGGTAGCTGAAAAAACGTGCCTTTGCTTGTTATCAGTGTTGGCACATAACAGTTCCCTTGGAACAACATCAGCCTGTCCTTTGAATCCACTGCAGCTGATCCTGCTGGTGCAGCCGGACTGACCAGTTCCCTTGGGAAGCTGTGCATGGTCCAGTGTTAAGGCTCTGATTTCAGCTTGCACTTCTGTTTACAGAAGGATTACTTCACTATTTACCTTCAGTGTTAAGTTTCTAATCTGCCCCAGCCTGCGTTCCTGTTGGATAAGGGAAACGGTGCCGTTACACAGCGGATCTCTGGCTCTCCTTTGCTGACTCACTTTCACGCCTGTCAACAAAAGAGAATTTGTAGCAGATTAAACTGAAACTACAGGAGGAAGCTGGTTTTCGGGTATGCTTCCCACCCCTCTGGATGTGTTCAAGCAGCTTGTAGGGAGACTTGTCTGTTTGGACATCTGTTTGGACAACTGTTACCTTCTGTAGCTGGGTTATTCTTTTTTTTATGTTAAAGATTTTTAAAATTTTTTTTTTGGTCTGTATATGAGGCACCAGTGAACTGGGATATCAGTGTAATAACTTCCTGCACTCTTTCTCTTTAGGTCCATATTGAGATCCACTGATTGGTGACTTGGTGTGCTGCTTGCACTGTTTGCTGCAACTACAATCTGTCACACTCCTCCCAGTCCAGCCTGTTGTGAAAGCATCAGAGCTGTGCTCACGTGCTCCAGGACTATGAAGAAAGAAGATTTAACCCAGAACCCAGTATGTGACGATGGCCCAGCTCATCCCAAGGCAGCAGCTCACCTGACACACGTGCATTCCGTGTTGGACAGCTCTCAAAATCAGAGTAGCAGTTTACAAGAATTATTTAACACGAGGAATTGTTCTCTCTTCAGTACTATACCTCTGCCTCCTGTTGGCAAGGAAATGCCTCTGAGTTTCAGTGAATCAGCAGGGATGAACTCAAGTGCAGCTGCTCCTTGGAAGGATTCATTTCATCTGCATTTTTCTTCTGGCAAAGACGGTCCTGATCTGGTTTCTCACTGCATTGCTGGTATTTCAGTAAGGGGCTGGCTGGAGAAAGCTTGGAGCCTTTCTGGAGACTTCAGCTCCTGCTGTCCAGGAGACAACTTTGTATGTTTTGCACAGTTCTGGCTGGGACATTTGCAGTGTAACAAAACCCCGTGGTTTCTGGGATTAGGAACGAGCAGCAGCAAAGAGAATAAAGTGCAGTCTGCATTTTTGAAAGCGTTGGAGCTTGGTGGACTTCCTGATCCCTGGTGTATTCCAGCTGCCTCCCTGAACGACTCATATGCTATGGGACTCCTAAACAACCAAAAACCATGGTTCTTTCTTTGTTACTTAACCCTTGTATCCTCAGAGCAAACACTTGGATACGAGCAAATGCTTTTGATTATACAATATGTGGCTAAGAATTTCCCCATCATACAGCTGGTCATTTCTGTGCTAGCTTTTGCACTAGCAGGTCTCTGGTGTGTAGTAGTGAGGGTGAAGTACTGAGATTTTATTAACAACTTTTTTTAACAGAAATTTAACTAAATAACAGAGAAAAGGTCACAGTTCAGGTTTTAGTGAGAAGTAGATAGCTAAAGTAAAAAATTATACTTGTGTAATTGCTAGTAAAACTGGCTGTTGGGAGAATAGGGACTTCTTTTTTTGTAAGGAATATCTGCATCCGTGTGGAGAGAACTTCATAATCTCCAGACTCTTTGGGACTTTGCTGGTCTGTTGTTAACACTAAACTAGAACCCAGTCTGATTAGCACAGATCCTTTGTCTTCTTTAGGGTTTGTATTAGTGCAGCGTTGTGGCTACTGCTATTTACAGCCATTTCCAGTGAAACTGTTTCTTGCAGAATTGAATTCTCGCTCTGAATCCAGCAGTGACTGATACATCAGTCCTTAAAACACTTTGAACTGGAAAACTGTTGGGAGGGTGGTCTTCAATGCAGCCTAATTCTCAACAGTGCTCCTTTCCAAGGGTGGTGCTGCTCTAATTAAACAATATCTCATGAGCTTTATGGCACTACAAGAGAGAATGTTTCGTTTCCTTGAGAAAGTGATTGCACAGTAATAATTTCTGGGCCTGTTGACTTTGGCTTTGGGGGACACTTCTGATAATGTGGTTTGGCAAAGAATGGGGCAAGAGTGTTGGAATCCATAGAGCTGCTTGGGAATAAGGATTTTGAGGAATAGGCTCCTGTTGGCACCCTAGTGGAGGAACTCACTGTGCAGCAGGTCAAAGTTTTAAGTCTGTGTCCAAAATTCTCAACGAGGGGTTGCTGCAGATGGGCTTAGTGTGCTCTGGGGGCTCACCGACAGAGGGAGGTGGGAGTTGGGATGCATTTTTAGCTTCCCCTTCACTGAGATAAAAGTGAGGATTGGATGTGGAGTAAAGCCATGCCAGGGATTCCCACACCAGGAATCCTTTTTGCCAGCTGTCTTGCGTCATTTGGAAAGAGAGTAAGTGATGATGCATTAAGTTTGAACTGAATTTACCTGGAAAGCCAGTAGAGTTTCCATGTGATGATTACTGGGGTGTCAGCACACTTGTGTGGAGAAGGCCTTGGTTACAGAGATGAAATGATGGTTTATAAGTGTTATGGGGAAAAATGCTGGATTTTTTTAATCTCATTTGAGTGCTGAAAGTAAGATATATTACTTTTTATGTTGAATGATATGCTGTGGTTTTATTATCTCCATTGGCTGATTGTTTCTTCTGGATGCTAGAAGAGATGAAAAGCCATTTTACTTTAATTTAGAAAATCACTCTTTCCCTGGTGTGTATTTTAAGAATTGTTTAACTTCTAGGCTTTTGACCTGTCATGAAGTGACTGAAAACCTTAAAATAATGTTGGATTATATATTGTAAGTAACTGTTTTGACAGCAACAGTTCCCACTTCATCCAGCCATTCACCCACATCTCCACTGCTGCAATTTATCAGCCCTGCAGTGGTGTTACTATGTTAACACGTGGTTTTGTGGTGGGATTAATGATTCCCGAAGTGATGTGGATCTGAAACCCCAGAAACCAAGACACTACTCCAGAAGTCTGTGGCTTCTCTGAGTTATGGTGTTAAGTTGCTGTCTACCTACATTTTGACCCAAAAAACCTCCCTTGGCAGAGCTGAGGGCAGAGGACTGAAGGTGGGGAGGGGCTGGGGCCTGTTTAATTGCTAAAGACAGTGCTGTGCAACTCCAGCTGAACCTCTCTAACCACCTCCACAGGTACAGACCTTTCTTTGCCTGTGTGGTGAGCCTTTTCTTAGGAAGCTGAGCATAAAATAAACACAGCCCTGCACCCAAACCCTGAGTGCTTGAACCTCCTGTGCAAAGGATCAGTTGGCACAGTTGTACCTGCAGTTGTTACTTGAGACTTTGTTTGTTCAGCTGAATGGTTTGGCCTGGAAGCTTCTCTGCTGTGTCAGTTGGGAACTGCTTTTTTGGGAATCACAGTTGTGTGCAAAGACTTTGGGGTGATACTGTCAGGTTAACAGGCAGGAGGAGTAGCTGAAGGCGTAAGAGCATTAATCCAGTTTTTAATGCACCTGTTCTTCATGGCGATTTTAAAGGGGGCAAAAATGAAACATGAGAGACACTAACAGTAAATTAGAATTTAAATGTGTGTACAGGGTGCTAAGGGTTTTCTCTTAATTGATGACAAACCTGTGCAGGAGGGGAATTCAGAATGTTGAACTGTGTTACACATCACAGTCCAGCTAATACAGTCCTATTTTAAGCAAAGTCCTCTTTGAGTGTGTGGCCTTTAATCAGCTATTACAGGATCATTTCAACTCCAATACAGCTAACTGAAATACTGCATTTCTGTTGTGTATTATATGTATATTGAACATAAGATATATATAAAAAAAAAACGTTTTAAGTGAGTGGATTTAATCCATTTTAAGATAGTTTATGTACCTTGCCTTGGATTTTATTGCTTAAAACCTAAAAGGTAACTTTAACTTGAACATTCCTTCTGAAATTCAAATAAAGGATAGTTTGGTTTGTTGAAATCTCATGTCATATACTGCACTTTAAGCCTGGGGAGGCCATGGAGTGAGAGCTGTTCTTGCACTAACAGAACTGTCTGCCTGATGGTGACAATGTTTAAATGGCTTTTCCTGTCTGGAGGGAGAAGAGGGAACCTGAGGGATGGCATCCATCCTTTGACACTAGAGATACATCCAACCCTGTGTGGCTGAGGCCACTGTTCTCTTCCTGCAGATGTTCTGACATGAACTCATCTCCAGAGATGGAAGGTATCTGGGCTAAGAACCAGTTTGTGTGGAGCTTCATGGCTTCAGGACGATGTGGAAAGCTTTTCTGAGCTGATGTACTGTCAGGACTGAGACTGTCCTGGATGATTATTACAGTACAGAACAATAACATCCTTCCTGGGGGGTAAGGGATCTTTATACTGAACCGGCAGTTGCCTTCGTATTTCCACATTTCCCTCTCATCTTGCTCTGCAGAGAGTTATTTTGAAGCAAAACATCAGGGCTCTACTAAACAACTTGTGCTCCAGGTCCTTCCTGCATTACATAGCAAAGAGTTCTATTTCTGCCATTAGAAAACAAGTAAGAAAATACTCAGCATTTAGAGAACTGCCTGGTAGTCACACTTGAGTGAAAATTTACTATATGGTGTACTGCTTTGAAAAGAAAATATCCTTTTAAATGTGCGTGCGCAGAGCTCTGCATGTAGATAAAAAGTGTTTTACCATAGTGAGATGCTGGAATGCTTCTGCAAATGCTTGTTTCCTTGCTGCCATTTCAGTGCTGCAGCAGGGATGGTGGTGTATTCTCAGTGTGATCTGGTGCAATCCTGGGCATCCCCCTGCACCAGGAGACAGTTTTAGCTGTAGACATTTTTTAGCTGTTTGCTTTTTCAGTGTCAGGTTTGCTTTTGTTGTTCGGGGTTTGGTGTTTTGTTGTTTGGTTTGTGGTTTTTTTTGGTTGTTTGGTTTTTTTTTATTATTTTTAGGACTGTAAAGACTGCACTTTCTGAAACTTGGCCAAAGTTTGCTTTTCCCTTCTCCTTTTCTCCTCCCGTGTCCCTTCTTCCAGGTATCCACATTTAATCTTTGGAAGAAGCAAGCCTGGACACACTCTCCTAATGTATACTCTTTCTGTCAAGTTGTTCCTTTTGTTTTTATGGCCCGGTCTTACATGCATTTCCCTCCCTGTAACTTCTCAGCCTAAGCACATGCTGATATTTTATTCCACTTCAGAAACACTGCTCTGTAATTATTTATGCATAACAAATTGACAGAAACCATGCAGAGATGTAAGAGCACATAGTCTGTCATTAGGGTGTAAGACAAAAGGTATATCTGGCAGAGCAACAGGTAGCCAATATGACATTGCTGCTTTTTTCCCCTTCAAAACAGCTGTTTTAATTAAAATCCAATATTTAATTTGAATTTGTGGTACTTCTGTCAGCTGAGAATTGCAGCTAGAATTTGGGGCTTATGAAATATAGGTCAGAACTTAAAACTAACTTTTCAAAAAATTAAGGGTACATTCATGCGAATAGTTTTTTTTCCTGAGTGCACAGAATGTGTTCTGACACTTTGTTTCTGTGATGCACAGTCAATAAATGGGGGGAAAAACATCTCTAGACTACAGAGCCTCTAATCCTCAAGGAAGAGCTGCATTCAATAGAACTTTCAAATAAATGAAATGTTGCCTAGGAAAATAATGATATTTATGATCAATTCACATACTTCAATACAAGCTCACAGATATCAAGCTGCTGACAGTGTGAAAACTAGAATAATACAAAAGTGCTGAAATAATGGTACCCTTTACCAGCCTGCACTAAGCAAATCCTATTGGTGTGTACTTTGGAATTAATCTCAATTATCTTAGTCCTCCTGGAATTGGTGATACAAGATTCAGACCAAGACGGTTATTTCATTGTTAGTGATGAAATAAATTTAAAAGTTAAAAGACTCTAGAAATGACCAGAGGGACTTCCAGAAAGAAAACCTGCCTTGAAAAGATCTTTTTCATTTCTCAATACATTTGTAGGCTGTTTTGCACGTTTCTTTTCTTGCCTCTTCACGGAAAATGTGTAAAAATCTGATAGCAAAAATGGTCAAAACTCAAACTTGCGAAGGTATCAGTATTTCATTTTCTCTCTGTAGGCAGTTTTAGCTGCTGTCAAGAAGAACAGCTTGATGTGATGTAAGCTTTTGT